CAACTGACATCTCATCATACAACTGTACTAATGTAACACGACCCTCTGTCACTCATTAGCCTGTAGTCTATCACCTACGCCTATAACTGATATTTCGTCATTATCTTATTTCACAGTCAAACCCGATGCGACGGAGGCGGAAATCGATGACGTGCTAGATAATGAAAAGGGGAACACAATCTTTGCGCAACAAATGTTGTCACAGGTAGGTGCTACTTTCGCCTCATAAGCCAATCAGTAGGACCCCAAGGCTCACCTGCGTAGTCATAGCCCTAGAACTATGACTACCTATGACTAGCACTCTATGACCACGTATGACTAGCACTCTACGACTACCTATGACTAGCACTCTATGACCACGTATGACTAGCACTCTATGACTACCTATGACTATCACTCACCTGCGTAGTCATAGCCTTAGAACTATGTGTACCTATGACTAGCACTCTATGACTACCTATGGCTATCGCTCACCTGCGTAGTCATAGCCTTATAACTATATCTACACATGACTAGCACTCTATGACTACCTATGACTATCACTTACCTGCGTAGTCATAGCCTTAGATCTATGACTACCTATTACTTACACTCTATGACTACCTATGACTAAAACTCACCTGCGTAGTCATAGCCTTAGAACTATGACTACCTTTGACTAGCACTCTATGACTACCTATAACTAACACTATGACTACATATGACTAGCATTCTATGACTACACCTATGACTTGCACTATCTGACGACCTATGACAAACACTCACTTGCGTAGTCGTAGCCTGAGCACTATGACTACCTATGACTAACACACTTACACGTGCGTTCATTTTCATGTGCCTACACTTCTCTTGTGTGCACACGGTGTTTTAGAGACAGACGTGCATGCGCATGTCGTCGTAAGTCTGTTACACACACACGTACATACGTGTTCGTGTGCATGACCTTACACTTCTCTTCTGTGCACACGATGTTTTAGAGACAGACGTGCATGTGCATGTCGTCGTAAGTCTGTTTACACACACACACGTACGTACGTGTGTGCGTTCGTGTGCATGGCCTTACACTTCTCTTCTGTGCACTCGGCTGTTTTGCAGCACCACGCGGAGGCCCAACAAGCGCTGGAGGACATTCAAGACCGCCACAAAGACCTCATCAAACTAGAGAAGTCCATTCGTGAGTTACACGAACTGTTTGTAGACATGGCCATTCTGGTAGAGCAGCAAGGAGAGATGGTCGACCGCATTGAGTTCAACGTCACACAAAGCACAGACTATGTGGAGCAGGCGGTGGTGGAGCTTAAGGAGGCGCAGCAGTACCAAAGCTCAGCCCGCAAAGTATGTTATATATATA